ACAACTACCACCACCACCACTTACACCAAAACTCTTGATTTCGAACAATTAATAAATATGTTGTTACATTAATATAAGTTATAATTAATACACATGATGTCTTATGCTATACAATATTTTTATTTTTCCTTAAAATTTTCACATGCATCAGGTGACAACCCTATCAGAATAGGTATAGATTTTCGACGTTGTTAGGAAGCTTCCCCTCTGGTCCTCTTTACTCTGTGCTGAGCGCGTTCCGTACGGAATTTACGTATGTGTGTTGCGACTCGTACAAAATCTATGGAAGACTTGCGTTCGGAGCGGCTTTTTTCCGTTCGGGATTCTGAACGCACAGGTATAGATGTGCCAACTCGAAAAAATTACAACTCGAGTTAACTTGAGTTGAAATTCACGCAACTCGAGTTAGCAGTACTAGGGCACACTGAAATAATCGGGAATAAAATATTTCGGATTGAGTTACAATAAAACCTTTTTAGTATTTAAATACTGGCCTCTTAGAGTCTTAATACTATTCAAACAATAAAAAAAATGTTTAAAACAAAAACTATGTTGGTTTAAAGTTGACACGTCGTTAACAGAAATGGAACTCACGCGTGAACATTTCCGTGCTATTATTTATTACAATTTTCGTCGCGGCTTATCTCAAGATAAATGTCTCAGTGAACTTGCTTCGATTTATCATGTTGAAGCACCGAGTCAAACGACAATATACCGCTGGTATGCCGAGTTTCGACGCGGTCGTGTGTCGCTCAGCACTGTTTCTTCTGCAGGTCGACCAAGAACAGCGGTCACGCCTGAAAACATCGCAGCTGTGCGAACTATTATATTAGATGACCGTCATGTGACATACGAGCAGATCCGGACTGTTATCAGTTTCGGAATGAGTGCAATTCAGTCGATATTACATAATGAGATGTGTGTAAGAAAGCTAGTTTCCCACTGGGTTTCCCACAATTTGTCCGAAGAGCAAAAGGCAGCTCGTGTAGATTGGTGCCGGAATACTCTGCAACGCTTCAACGGAGGGAAGTCAAATGCCGTTTATAATATCGTCTCAGGTGACGAATCATAGATTTATTCAAACGAATCTGAAAGAAAATATCAGTCAGCAGTTTGGGTCTTCGAAGACGAGGTCAAACCAACGAAGGTGGTTCGCTCCCGCAGCGTGTCAAAGAAAATGGTCGCTACGTTTGTCTCAAAAAACGGGCATGTTGCTACCATTCCTTTCCAGGAACGCAGAACGGTTACCGCTGAGTGGTATATCACGGTTTGTTTGCCAGAAATGATAGCCGAATTCCGAAAAACTAACCCGAAACGTTACATCAACTTACATCACGATAATGCGAGCTCCCATACAACTCGGAAGACAAATGATTTTTTGAAGTAGGAAAACGTTGAGCTGATGAGCCATCCTCGGTACAGTCCTGACCTGAGACCAAACGATTTCTTTACATTCCCTAGAATGAAAGATTTATTATGCGGTCAACGGTTTGAAGACCCCGAAGCAGCTGTGGAAGCGTACAAATCAGCCATTTTGTCAATATCAACTTCAGACTGGAATTACGATTGGTTTGAATGAATGGAAAAGTTCATTAAGTTGAACGGAGAATATTCGAAAAACAATAAAATACAATTTAGCTATACCGTACATGTGGTTTTTCTTATTTCCGATCATTTCAGTGTGCCCCTCGTACGAAACAGAGTAAATTATTTATTACAAATTACTTTTTTATAAATTGGTTTTTCTATCTAGCTCTGGTGGGTTGGTAATAACTATAATTACCAAACTTATTATGTAGGAAATTATAGTTTTCTTGGTTTTAATCTTAGTAATAGTAAGTACATGTATTTAACGACAAAACTAGCTATATAACAGTCTTCACGATACAATATTAGTCTAGCAGCTAGTCAGCTTTAAGATGTAGGAACATAAACTATTAGCAGTTTAATTATCACAGTCAAAATATCCTTAAATAAATTCAATTTTCAAATTCATAATATTTATTGTAAGTTAAGTGTTACATTTTGCGTCAATTTAAAATATGATGATCTTACAACTTAACCACCCTTTTCGGGTATTACAATAATAGGTCTGCGAGTTATATAACTTTATTGATCATAAGTAATCAAAATTATAAAAGAAATTAAATTACATATCTTAGCTATTATATAATCCTAAACAACAAATTGCTTAGTTGTAGCTAAACACTCTTTAAAACACAAAGCGCGCACACAACGAACGAATCGCGCTTTTACTCTTTTGCTGGCTCACTTGACCCGTTCATGTACAGCAGCCCAAACTCGAGTAAGGAAGATCCAACTCGAGTTAACTCGAGTTAGGCGCAACTCGAGTTAACTCGAGTTGACCCATCACTACGCACAGGCGGTCATAATTTCCGTTCGAAATTTTTCGGGCAAAACGGGAGTCCGTATGTTTGTGGCCGACCCGTTCGGAATTCCGAAATGGAATCCCGAAACGGAATTCCGTATATATGTAGCGGGCCTAACTGTTGGGGAACAAATGTACTTGTGCAGACCAATGGGGCGGCAGTTCTGACCTCGATCTTATGCCAGCGCACTCCACAAAGTGTGCTGTACATTACATGCTGTTGACGTGATCGTCTTTTATAGTACTTATTTAACAAATTTTAGGGGCCGTTTTTGACAGTATAATATCTATAACGGTGAATTACTGTTATACATATGAGTTACTAATTAAAGTTGAATTCAAAAGACGACCATGCTCATGTTTCCCTCATTTATTCTTTGATAAAACTGTTTATCCAAATGCGAATACACTACATAATAAAATTTAACAATCGAAAACTGAAAACGGCTATACGTTATAAGTGACTATTTCTTATACAAAGAAAGTGTCACGATAATATTTGGCAGTGCAACATTTGAAAATGTATTTTTCTTGTAGTAATAAATAATGATCTTTTTTATATGTTTTTACTTATAAGTTTGCACATAATGTTAATAAATAATAATGAGTATTATAATATCCAAAATTATTTTATTGCCAATTTCGTGACAACCCCTAGGCATATACGTCGCCCGGGTAAATACCTACGCGGGTGCGGCATCGCCTGACATCAAAGACTATCTTTGAACTGTAGCTGTACTGACTCCAAATCAATTTACACTATATCAGTATCGGGTCAACACTGCCTGGAATTTGGAGTCCGTTACTGACCCTGTGTAAATCAGTCTCAACTTATAGTGATTTGGTTCTTAATGTTAGCAGCAACAATCCACATCGATATAGGACCTACTCGTTTTAGTTTATTTATTTATTACTTTATTATATGTATAAAATTATAAAGAAAATAAGACTAGACTTATTATTTTTCGAGAGATCACGTGAATTGTTTTCTAAACTAAGTGATGATGATTATATTACATAGGAAATATTCGTGCCCCAAACTTTAAAAACCAAAAATTATTGAGGTATGAATACTAAATCTTAAACGGTACATAAGCGACTTGAATCCCACGTATAATCCCAATTTTATATGCTGATTTACCACTTGCTCAGCGAAAAATAAAACTATCAAGAAAGCTATATTTGCTTGGATGAAAATATTTCGAAATCATGAAGTGAAGGTATATTGATAATGCCGTGTAGCGGCGGCGTAAGAGAATCCACTACTTCCTACCAAAGAATATAATATATTATAACTAAGAAGCGTAAATCTTAAAATAAGTATCACATCTCAGACGCGAGCTTGAAATTAAGCTAGAATCCTATCAAACATAGGGCTTTATTTTTTTTTCTCTTAAGGCACTAATTGTCATTAATTCCTCACTAAATCTTGACATAATAAATTTTAAGATATTCTTGCGAAGGATTCCAGCTTGAAGTACCTACCTACGCAATTAGTTACCGAATTGCATTATCAATACGGGGGTTTTAGCCGACAACAGATGGAGCGGTATATCCATCTCTTTTTAGCGCAATAACGGCGACGTCAACTTGAGACATTGCTACCGCAGTCCCCAATCCGTCTACCACGTAGATGCAAAGACCGCAGCCCGCGGGCCGCATGCGGCCCGCCGGTCGAATACTGGTGGCCCGCCGACAGCAAAAATAATACTCTCGTACATTCGAAAAATATTGAATTATATTCCAGAATAAAACCAAAAAAAATATGTTCGAAAAGTAATTTGAATCTCGCGCGCGCACTCTTAAGTGCGCTTATCGGTGCGCCATGCATGCGTCGGTAACAGCGGTCAGTAATGTTCGTGCTGATCTCGGTTAAATTCGTTTTCTTGAGGAACCGCCGCGGCCGGCGGCGCGGCGACGACGGCAGTGCGGTGGCGGCTTATCCACGGGTTATATTGTTTGAGCAAGCGAGATAGCAATAGTCCCTAATTCCCGATTGCTCACGTAGGTAGATACACGAAGCTACCAGAGTCGGTTTCGTGATTTCTCCAGACAGTTTTCGACTCTATACGCGCGGTATAAAAGCCACGCTAACCGCAGCGATCGACAGTTCGGTTTTAATTTGAGTGAAGAGTCAATAGTTCTAGTGTAGATTTTAACTCGACTAGCCGGTGTCATATATTTTGATCCAAATTCAACGTAGATTTCCCGTCAAGTGCCGTGTATAATTGTGTTGTGAAATCGTAAGTAAAACTCTGTTATTAATAAGTGTTTCCCTACCTATTTAATCAATTTTTTGGTAATTTAAAAAAGGATGGGTAATTTAAGTAAGTACTGTAATTGTTTTTAGGTGCTGTGTTAAACCTAGCCTGGATTAGAACGCAACATGAACAAGCCAGGACCTAGTAAAAAACGTAAGGTTAAAGATGAAAATCGGCAGTTTCAAGAAATTTGGACTGAGAAATACTTTTTTGTATGGTCGCATAACAAAGTCGTTTGTTTAATTTGCAAGAATTCTGTTGCGATTGCAAAGTAATATAATGTAAATAGGCACTATGAAACGCAGCATCCTACTTTTACCAAGTTTACAGGCGAATTAAGAAAGCAACAAATGTTGTCTTTAAAACGGGAGCTTATTGATCAGCAAGCTATGTTTACAAAACCCATTCAAGATTCAGAAACAGCTACAGAAATTAGTTATGAAATTTTTCGAATGATAGCAAAGCGAAGTCGCTCCTTCAATGATGGGAATTTTGTAAAAGAATGCATAGAAATTGCCGCTAAGAAAATGTGTCCAGAAGCAGCAAAAAAGTTTGAGAAAATTCAAGTGAATCGTATGACTATCCAAAGACGAATTATGTCTTTGTCAGGTAATATTGCCGAACAATTAAATGAAAAAACTAAGATCATTGAATTTTTTTTATTAGCACTCGACGAATCCACTGATATTAGTTCCACAGCTCAACTTCTGATATTCATACGAGGTGTTACTCAAGATTTTGAAGTCTTAGAAGAGTTATTAGGAATGTGTTCATTGAAAGGTCAAACCAGAGGAGTTGATATACTCAATGTACTTTTGGATGAGTGTTCAAAAACTGATTTGGACTTATCAAAATTATCGGGAGTTGCGACTGACGGTGCTCCTTCGATGATTGGTGTCAATTCTGGGCTAGTTACTTTGCTGAAAAAGGATCTGCAAGAAGAAAACATAAGCGCTGAAGATCTCATGCAGTTTCACTGCATTATACACCAAGAAGCCCTCTGTTCTAAAAAAATTGAATTTCAAAATGTCATGAAAGTGGTAGTTTCGACTGTAAATTTCATAAAATCACGAGGACTCAATTACAGGCAATTCAAACAATTCCTTGATGACATCGAAAGCGAATATGGAGATTTACTGTATTATACAGAAGTAAGGTGGCTAAGTCGTGGATTGACACTGGAACGATTTCTAAACTTAATAGAAGAAATTGGAATATTTCTGGCGGAAAAGCAAAGAGATGTCCCGGAACTTAAAAATCCTGATTGGTTGTGTGATTTGGCTTTTTTAGTTGATATTGCAAATCATTTGAATGTCTTGAACACACGGCTTCAAGGCAAAAATGAACTGATATCCCAGCTCTACGCTCATGATGATACATCCTTTCAATGCAAGCTGACACTTTTCAGATCGCAATTGAATTCTGGAAATTACAATCATTTTCCGAATTATAATAAAATGTCTGAAAAATTCAACAAAACTGCGATTAATTTCAGTTATGTAGAAAAGCTAGATATTTTGATTCAATCTTTTCAGGACAGATTTTCGGAGTTTAAAAAAGTGAAACCTCTGTTGGACATATTCAGCAATCCTTTCACGATTTCAGTTGAAATGGGCCAGAGTCAATGCAGTTAGAAATTATCGACATTCAAAACGACCAAGATTTACGCAACAAATTTAACGAAGGAGACTTGCTGAACTTTTACCGCTGCATTGATAAAAATACGTACAAAGAGTTGCGCATAAACGCTCTGAAATGTGCCAGCTTATTTGGTTCTACCTATATATGTGAACAAACCTTTTCAATACTAAATAATAATAAAACAAAAAATCGAAACCGCCTTGCAAATGAAAGTTTGGAAGCAGTTTCACGTGTAGCTACAAGTAAATTTGAGCCAAATATAAAAAGGATTGTAAGCACTATGCAGTGCCACGCTTCAAATTAATAAATTCTTTTTCAATTTTAATACATTATTATCAATTCTTTATTGTCTTTAATTAACTATACTTCTGGCGGCCCGCCGTCAGTTCATAATTTGCCCGAGTGGCCCCTAGTCTTAATAAGACTCTACCAAACACGTAATTTATTGCAAATCTTCCCTAGAATGGGAGAAACCCATATCTAGGTAACTTGGGCTTTTTACACTCTGTTAAGGTGATGACATTCTACTATTTTATAAGACCAATGCGTAAAATGACGTTGATGAACTCTTGGCGCAATATAGCCACGGCAACATTATGTAAAATTTTCTGCAGCATCTTGTTATTCTTTCCTTGGACTGTTTTTCTACATTTATTGTTTCCTGCTTCGGATATATCCTATACCTCGAAATGTGAGTTGGGAAATGCGCTGAAATCATTTTAATTATTTTTACAGTAGAGAAAACATCATAAATGATTATGTAAACCACAGAACACACGTCCATTAAATAAAATTATCTTTTTGTACCATACCTATCCTCTTAGGCTATTTTAACCTTATCACACAGTAAAGTTAACGGATCTATAATACTGGTTTATCGCTACTGACATTATCGGAACAATCGGTTTTCGATAATAGCTATTTTGTTTCAATTCCACTTTTTGTAGTAGTGGCTACTTCATAAAACATTTGTATTAATTGGAAATTTAAGAAGGAAACAATTTTGGTTGTTGCTTATACATGACACCAAACAATTAAAAAAGGTTTTTCGTAGTATGTATTTGTATTACACGCCTCATAACGCGACGCGTTATTATGTAGTGTTTCTCAAAACGTCAAGGTCAAGCAATTTTGTGTTCTTAAAGCGTCTCCCACACAGAAGCGGCTTGCGGTGGCGGCCGCGGTGGCGGCCAGTTGTATTCGTTTGCAATGTAAGTGAGTCTCCAAACCCATGCGGCCATGGCGCGGCCTGCGAGCGGCTGGCCGCGGCCGCATGCTCCGCCCCATTTTCCAATGCGTGTGTGCTAGCGAGTACGCGGTCAGTCGGTGGCTGCAGCGCGGTCAGTTGTAAATTTTTTCAACAGGCCGCGTGTACCGCGTGAAAAATGGTGCTAAATTCAGAGATTTTAATAGAAACAGTGCAAAATTATCTAGTACTTTATGATAATTCGCATTGTGATCACAAAAGCATTAGTATTAAAACAAAATATATGATAATATTGCTGAATATAATAAAGACTTTGTCACGGTTTGTCATGTTCGTACGTCCGATCGTAGCACGTCAGTAAACATGGTTAACCGTGACGAAGTCTTATTATTTTCAGCAATGTTATCATATATTTTGTTTTTAATCCCAATGATTTTGTGATCACGATGCAAATTATCATAAAGTACTGGATAATTTCGCCTTTTTTCTATTAAAATCTCTGAATGTAGCACCATTTTTCACGCGGTACACGCGGCCTGTTGCAAAAATTTGCAACTGACCGCGCTGCGGCCACCGATAGGCTGCGTACTCGCTATCACACACGCGGTGGCAGAGGGGGCGGAGCATGCGGCCGCGGCCAGCCGCTGTCAGGCCGCGGCCAGCCGCTGTCAGGCCGCGCCATGGCCGCACGAGTTTGCGGACTCTCTTACATTGCGAGCGAATACAACTGACCGCCACCGTGGCCGCCACCGCAAGCCGCTTCTGTGTGGGAGACGCTTAAAATGCCTTTATCCTAACCATATTGCACTGATACGATAATATGAGTAGAATTATATCAAGAAAACATTCTAATTAATCCATGTTATATTTTCTAAAAAATCGTTTTATATTGCTTATTTTGACGTATCGATACCGGGTTTTTTTATTAGTGTCAGAATTATATCAACTGGTTTCCTATTTCATATCAATAGCCTAGTTCGCGTAGTTTGTTGTTTGTGGTAAGTGGATGGTAATGGTATGGCCCATGATCATCTACATTTATCATCGATTAAGAATCATAGCGGAAAATGCGGGGATCTCCGATTCTCTACACTCACCATATGAAATAAAACAGCATTGGGCTACTATTTCACGCTGGTATTCTGTGAGAACGTGGTCTTTCCCTAGTCGAGCCGACCCATTTATGCTACGACCAGATAGCTGCAGCGTGATTATCATGTAGATTTTTTTAAAATTAAGTGTAAGTTTAATCCTATTAATTTTATTATATTTATTTTTTCAAAAAGCACTTCCTGCTTCTATTTTTCCTTTCATCTGATTCAATCAACTCTTTAAAAACACCAGATAGCAGATAGTCTTCCATATAGTGATCAAAAATATGTTACTTTAGATTCTTAGCGCTTTTTCGACGATAAAATAATAATTATAGAAATATAGTTAGGTGCGTAGTATATGAGATAAACTTCCATTTTCATTAGATAAGATTAAACGTCGACGTCTGATCACAGTGCAGTAAGGTCTGAGTTAGGCTTGTTTTTCCTTTATTAGAAATTTCCTTTATTAGGAATGTCTCTAAAATATCTTATGATTTCCGATATATGGCAGTATAACCGTCTCCTTAAAACCAGAACTATATAATAAATTCCAGACCGCTAACGACAAGCAGCGTCAAAGGTCTAAGTAATGCGATCGTCAATCCGCCTGCGAATTGTGACGATTTAGGCAAAATTTTATGCTCCCTTCAACGGGAGTGGTCCTTTTCCAGCAGTGAACTGTGAACTAGTGAAAGAGAAGAAAATACCATTCTAAATTGGCTACATAATAAATAAGATCTATAATATCCCAGGATAGTTTCGAAATGTCCAGTTCTACCAGAAAAACCTTTTTAATTGATAGTCAGATAGGTAGAAGTTTAAATCAAATAATTTTATTATAATTGTACATTTAATGAATATAGTAATGGTAACATCAACATTAAAATTTAATTTTAACAATTACGGTTCAATTTAAAATGACTCAGAATTCATATAAAATATCGTTTTAGTACACAAAGTCAATTGTGGATGTCAGATTTATTTTAATTATAATAATTGTACACATATTACAATATTATTTATATAATTATATACTCTAAGGGTATTACATATTCAATTTGGTAAAAATAATTGTAGCATAGACATAGATAATGGACTGAGCCTAAGCCTCAGAAAAGTGACCATTTTCTAGAAAGACACAACTACTGGCACATTTGCTTTGTCTGTCTCGCACTTTTTGGTCTGTATTCACTGCACAAATGAGTACGGAACGCACAGTCCATTTTCTCTATGTCTATGAAATGTTCAATATTTTAATTCGAGTGATTTACGCTATCCGTATAAAGCCAGATTGTCGATATTTAAGACTAGTTAAATCCGGTTTTTGATACAATTATAACTTAGGTACATCACTTACACTGACTTCAAGATAAAACTAAAGTGTACTCTACATACATCAACTTTATCATAATAGTTTCACACATATATACTAGGTGTAAAAAACATTTACAAGAATATAATAAAATTACTAATGGTAATCAAAGACTTGCACGGGCTCTGCGGCATGCGTACTAAGTTACAGTCAATTCTCCGTAACTTCTTTAGTCGATTGCGAGCCGGCGAGAAGACTAGTTCTTTGTTTTGTAAATCTCGAACGTTGTTTTCGACAATCTAAAATAAATTTTATTTAATGTGACAAAGAAAACGCTGTCTTCATTTAGTGTGCACTTTGCCAACTTAATTTGAAGTTTACTTCAGATAAATATGAAACTTTATATCGTATTTGCCTAAAACGGTAACTCTCGTATCTAAATAAACAACTGCGTGGCATATTTTCCACTGGCAAGGCGATCACGCGATCCATAGTTTTAGTTCTGAACTGACGGTATAGTAGTATACATAGAAGTTTTCGATGGTAACATTGAAATTTGGTTTAAGAAGAAGACGTTCAATTAAATATGAAAGCAATCTTAATTTAAGTACATCTACGTACATCAATTTAAGCATTTAATTGTACACATACTACATAACATTTGGGTAATGAGTAATGTCATTGTTTATTAAGAATGAAATGGTAACTTTGACATTTTGTTTAGTATAGTATAGTGCCGGTATAGTATTATACATAGAAGTTTTCGATGGTAACATTGAAATTTGGTTTAAGAAGAACACGTTCAATTAAATATGAAAGCAATCTTAATTTAAGTACATCTACGTACATCAATTTAAGCATTTAATTGTACACATACTACATAACATTTGGGTAATGAGTAATGTCATTGTATATTAAGAAGTAATGGTAACATTGACATTTTGTTGAATTGAATTATGAATTATCTATATACTTAAATATTAAATCGCTCTAAGTATTCGCGCAATACCAGATTATTGACGAATTTATTTTTCCTTCAGATTTTGCACTGTAATTTATGCAGATTATGGGAAAACTACGTAATAATTCTATGGGGAAAACAATATCTAAATCAAAGATCTCATTATGCACCTACTTGACAACATAGATGATTTTAAAGCAAGTATAGGATGTAGGCATACGCAAATTTCATCGTAATTATTTAATACATTCTATATAATTTATAACATAACAAACTTTAATAAAGTTAAAATTGAAATTTAAAATTTAATTATGTCGAAATAAAGTCTTATTTCAAATACCGCATAGGTATTACTGATTTACGCTTTGATCGTCAGAGACTTTCTCGAGTGGGCTGTGGGTCCTGCCTTCCTGCACTATGCGGTACGTTATTATGCTGCTCCTGATCGCTTGTTAAAAATATTATGGGTACCACCGTTTCGTCGTTATCGTTGAATCTGTAAAAATATAATTATTTTTTTTAAATGCGCTTAACTTTGCAATATGTTTAGACATATTTACTTACATAGATAAAAATATACGTACTGATAACGGGGTACATCGCCTCTCATCGTACAAATGGCATTAGTGAGAGCTTTTATGTAATTTTTGGCAAGTGTTAATGTCTCTATCTTTGACAGAGTTCGACTATCCTTTTTAACGTGTGGTATAACATGGCGAAGCCCCTGAAAATATAATGACATGTCTCGTTATTAAAAAAACAGGTGCAAATGAGTAAATGGTATTATAGTAATAAAGATTGCCAGGACTTTGATACCCTGTGGTACTCCAGTGCGAGATATCAGACTCCATTTGTCTTTGACATATTAGCGGCGAGCCAAAACAGCTGCTATTACAGATCATATAGCAGCTGTTTTCGCTCGCGGCTCACTTAGCCGTCAGCTCCTCAGTTTCAAGGTACTCCCCTTGTTGCCTCAGCCAGTATCGGAATCCTTGGCGTCGACATATCGAGTAGCGTGCAGTTTCGTGGTCACTTGGAAGAAAAGGCCAAATTGGCCTCTAAAAAGCTTGGCGTGCTCAGCAGAGCGGGACAGTATTTCATGCCGGCTCAACGCCTGCAACTTTACAAGGCGCAGGTTCGGCCTCACATGGAATACTGTTCCCATCTCTGGGCTGGGGCTCCCCAGTGCCAGCTTCTTCCACTTGACCGCATCCAGCGCAGAGCGGCTCGAATCGTCGACGACCGAGTCCTTTCCGATCGGCTCGACTCATTGGCACTGCGAAGAGATGTTGCATCTCTTAGCATTTTCTTTCGCATTTATCATGGGGAGTGCTCTGAGGAATTGTTCGGATTAATCCCAGCCGCCAAATTTCACGAACGCACATCGCGGCAGAACTCCCGATACCATCCACACCATCTGGATGATTGGCGGTCCACCACTGTGCGATTTAGAAGATGTTTTCTTCCTCGCACAACTTCCTTGTGGAATAGTTTACCACCAGCGATTTTTCCGGACCGATACGACTTAGGGACCTTCAAGAAAAGAGCCTAGTCCTTTTTAAAAGGCCGGCAACGCATCTGCAATTCCCCTGGTTCCCCTGGTGTTGCGGTTGTTCATGGGCGGCGGTAGTCACTTACCATCAGGTGAGCCGAATGCTCGTTTGCTCCCTCTCCTGTAAAAAAAAAAAGCTACCACAGAGTTTCACTTAAGGATTTATCTATTATAGCCTATAAAATCCACTGCTGAACATAGGTCTCCCCCATAAATTGCAGCACAGGGGGGATTTTTCCATAGTTTCCAACCTCGGCAGGTAAGTTATCAATCGCAGCTATTTTAATTTTATTTTATAATTTTGAACAGGCGTCAGGAAGTTGCTGCTGCCCATCTCCTGTCTCAGTTTCCCTCTGTTGCCTCTTACGACACTCACAGGTCGATAGGGTTACTGGATATTCTTACACCTCCACTTCACAGTTACTGTAACTACACGGTAACGCATACTAATATGCCAATATATTTCCTTCTGAAGAGCTGATATTTTTCGAAAGTATTTTCATGTCCATAATAAAAAAACCGGCCAAGTGCGAGTCGGACTCGCGCACCGAGGGATCCGAACAAATCCGTAGGTATATAAGTTTAAAATTATTATTATATGATGTAATTAAAAATTTATGCTTTTCTTGCTTTTATTAATTTTTCCTTTATCTGTGCTATAATACGTTGCTTCGTATCAAATTTTAAGATTCTGAGTTCACGGGAAGTACTCTGTAGGTTTTGATTCCCTTGCGAATGTCGAAAATTTGCGGCATAAACGGCTGTATCTATTGATTGTGTTGACTTAGAAGTTTGATTTATTCACAACTCCAAGGGACAGTAGATTTGAGTATTTGATATGAATTTCAGCTTTATACCTGCACGCGTTCCTGAGAAAAAGGGTCTTGACAGAAAGACAGACGGACAACAAAGTGATCCTATAAGGGTTGCGTTTTTTCATTTTGTGGTACGGAACCCTAAAAATGCATTAAATAAATATTTTGTTATAACCCAAGAGTTACATAAATAGAGATTTTTCTCACCTCAAAAGCTTGATTTAACGAATGCATTCGCAATCGTTCCCGCTCATTACTCTCCAGGCGACGAAGATTACGTTCGCGGGCGGAAACTCCGCAACGACGGCGTCGACCCGATCCCGAGGCGGTAGCTGAACCGCCACTAGCGGCACCTGATGATGTAGAGGTGGCCGGTTTCCGCCTCGATCGACTAGCACGGCGTAATACTTGCTCGTCACTGCCACTGCCGCTATCGTAGAACTCTGCAATGTAATGAAACTCGGTCAAAATACCTTTATTGAATATAATTAATAGAATCAGGCGTTACTTTGCGGAATTACATTATATTATTATTACGTGGTACAGCCCTGCTGCAGCTATATTAGTAGTATAGCACGAATGGGTGGGTCGACCGGGGAACGACTACGCTCACACAGAATACCAGCGTAAAATAGCAGCTCAGCGCTGCTGTGTTTCGTGTGGTGAGTGTAGAGAACCGGAGCCCCTTTTTTACTGGAACGAGGCATTCCATCTTAGTCCTCACGGGTGAAAACGCATCTGCATTTTATTCGCAAACGAGGATAGATGTAAATGTCTATGGGCCACAGCAACCACTTACCATCAGGTGGACTGTGTGTTCGTTTGTCACCCTTATCCTATAAAGAAAAGTATATTAAACTGGTTAAAAATAAATTCTCTAAGATCCGTGTAATACAATAAAATAAAATGATGTATCTTACCTAGTTTGAAGAGCACCTCTCGCTCTAAGCTCCCGCCCTCACTCAATTGCGTGCACTATCCCCGTCACTACTAATCCCAACACCACTACACTAGGAAAACCACACCACCGTCCATAATACGACACATGCTTCGCCTCTAGACAAAGCATCCTCAGGTGAAGTAGACTGCGTTGGCTGACCGCTATCTTAACAGTGGTGCTAGGATTAGTGGTGACGGGGATAGTACCGATAGTGGTGATAGTGACAATCGAGGGAGGGCATTCGGTGCTATTCAAACTAGGTAAAACACATCGTTTTATTTTATAACGCGTATCTTAGCAAATTGAATATCTTTATTGAACTTAATCTCATAAATAAAAGTTGCGATGGAAAACTTCACAGGATATTTATAAAGTATCAAAAAGAAAACATGTTTCAAGCTCTATGGTTTGTTAACAATTTATAAAATTGATAGTTTGCGGTTTATTGCCATGTAATTTACGCAGAATTTTCCGCCACGCAGGACCGCGGAAAGACCGCTAACGACAGTAAATTCTAACCGCTGTTAACAGTAAATTCCACAGCATTTACTGACACTAGCGGTGTAATATTGTTAGCCGTGTGATGACGGAGTAAGAGAATCAATTCTTCACTCCATTTCGTCCCGTTGTCGTAAGAGGTACCTATGATAAATGCCATAAAACTCTGATAACTTTCAATAGATGATGGTATAACAAATAAAATATTTAGACCGACGGGCAGCATTGCCATCGCCAATCCACGTGCCAAGTATGGCGATTAAGAAAAATCGTCCCTTCGACGAGAGAGTGAACCTCTTTCGTTCATCAGTAGACTTATGAAGCTGATAAAGATGAAAATATGATCTAATGCAATTAATGAAATATGGCGTAACCATTTACAGTCAATAGAGTAGGATGTTTTTGTATAAATGCCGATGAAAAAGAAATTCTATAGGTTTGCTTCCACTTAAATAATGTTATATACATGTAATGTGCTATTTATTTTGTATGTGTTAATATTGCTCATTGTGTCATTATTTTTCCTACTACACAGAAGGGTCTATCGGTAGCTAGTATTTTGCACTTAGTTTATTATTTATAGAATAGGAGAACAAACGAGCACACAGTCCACTTGATGGTAAGTGGATGCTGTGACCCATAGACATCTTCATTTATCCTTAATTAAGAATCAAAATGCAGATGTATTTTCATCATTAAGGAATAAGATGAAATGCCTCGTTTCCAGTAAAAAGACTTCTCTACACTCATCATACAAAATACTGTTATTCTGTGAGACCCCAATCGGGCCGATCCATTCGTGCTGCAACCCTAATAGAGCTGCAGCGTGGCTCTACCACGTAAAATTAAAACAAAAGCTAAGAAGTGAACATGCGCTGTGACTTTTCAAAACGATATCGTTTTCCGTTCTCCACGCGGACAATGCTGCGAGCGAAAGCTAGTTCCCATAAATTACAATATTATATTATTGGAACGAAGTTCCTTATCGGACGTTACGAATTTAGCGGAAATGGACTAGGCGAGAAAAAGTGTAAGATTTTTCCGTCACCACCCCTTCTGACGGCCTTGATGGTTATGAGGAAGCGAGATGGACTAACATCCATCTCCCTCGCGCTTTTTTATCTTGCCATGAAAGATATATTCTTTTATTTTAAATGAGGCTTCATTTTAATAGACATATAATGTATGTATTCGTATAATACGTTTATCAATAATAATATACTACGAAAGGAACTTCGTTCCAACCGAGTGTTCCACGACACTCAGGCACGTTTTTCTTTATAGGAGAGGGGGCAAGCGAGCATGCGGCTCACCTGATGATAAGTGACTACCGCCGCCCATGAACAACTGCAACACCAGGGGAACCAGGGGAATTGCAGATGCGTTGCCGGCCTTTTAAAAAGGAGTAGGCTCTTTTCTTGAAGGTCCCTAAGTCGTATCGATCCGGAAAATCGCTGATGGTAATCGATTCCACAAGGAAATTGTGCGAGGAAGAAAACATCTAAATCGCACAGTGGTGGACCGCCAATCATCCAGATGGTGTGGATGGTATCGGGAGTTCTGCCGCGATGTGCGTTCGTGAAATTTGGCGGCTGGGATTAACCCGAACATTTCCTCAGAGCACTCCCCGTGGTAAATGCGAAAGAAAATGCAAAGGGATGCAACATCTCTTCGCAGTGCCAGTGAAACGAGCCGATCAGAAAGGACTCGGTCGTCGACGATTCGAGCCGCTCTACGCTGGATGCGGTCAAGTGGAAGGAGCTAGCACTGGGGAGCCCCTACCCAAAGATGGAAACAGAATTCCATGTGAAGCCGAACCTGGGCCTTATAAAGTTGCAGACGGTGTGCCGGCATGAAATACTGTCCCGCTCTGCTGAGCACGCCAAGCTTTTTAGAGGCCAATTTGGCCTTCTTTTCCAAGTGACCACGAAATTGCACGTCACTCGATATGTCGACTCCGAGGATTTCGATATTGGCTGAGGCAAGGGTGGGGAGTGCCTTGAAACTGAGGAGATACGTGTCTTGTGTCTTCTGAGGATTAAACTGGACTAGATTTAGTCGCCCCCAATCCTAGACTTTGTTCAGCAAAGACTCGGATGTTTATATTTTAAATTACAATTTTCATTTGTAATTACGTAGCAAATTTTTTGTCGAAACCTGAAAGTAACAACAGTGCAAGAAAATTATTTTTCTTCACTTTACAAGGATTATTTTTAAAGTCCAGGTTTTAAATTTTTTAAAAACGTTCTGTAGGATTAGTATTTAAAAAAAAAACAATATCAAGGTTAGGTTAGTCCCCCCCCCCCCGAACGGGTTTCAACCTTGTCGTGGCGGGGGGGCTAAGAAGCCGTGTCTTGGCCACCCGCGGTGAACAAAGAGGAACCCCTTGGCTGGCCCGTGGTATAGGGCCGGCCCGAGGTGGCCACTCCGAGTGCTCCACGCTGGGGTGGGAAAGCGGGTGCTAGTAAGCGCTCGATTTTCCTGGCCCCATGGCTTCTGCGTATCGTACTCGGGGAGGGGGGGGGGTCCGATAAGCAGGTGGAGTTGGGGGCCGTGGAGGGGAGTAGGTGAACACCTCACTACCCCGTGCAGGAGACGAGGCCCGGAGAGGTCGGGCCAGTACTAGTGTGGGGCTGCGGAAAAATTTGGATTCCCGCGGCCGTGCGAGGAGACACCGGGGTGGTTTTAGCCGGTAAGAGTCCAACACGCCTCTCCGCCTTTCCCCAGGCGGAGGTAGTGAATGAGGATTTCCCCCCGTAAAAAAAAAGGTTAGGTTAGTTAGTTAGTACTGCGAGGGTGCTGGGGGCAGCAAGTACTGCACCCAGGACGTGCTGTTAGTGTAGCCAAGCGATTAAGGGGCCCCGGTTGCGTTCCGAAAGGATATCCCGCGACCCCTCGTATACGCTGATGGTGACCACCGTGGGGTTTTAGCCGGTAGGAGTTAGGTAGGAACTTTTTCGTTGCCCTCGCAGCGCAAGGTATCCATGAGGATTTTCCCAACAAAAAAAAAGGTTAGGTTAGTATTTAAGCACACCCCCCCCCCCCCCGAACGGGTTCCCGCCTTGTCGTGGCGGGGGGGCTTAGTAGCCGTGGCTTGGTCACCCACGGTGAACAAAGAGGAACCCCTTGGCTGGCCCGTGGTGCAGGGCCACTCCGAATGGGCTTGGCGAGCCCACTTCGGATGTGTGTCGGTGGGCTGCGGTGGGAGGGGTGTCCGCTCCCTCTACCACTGCAGCCGAGGTGGAGTCGCGGAGGAAGAGGAGTGTTGGTATGGCGATGCGCCACTCGCCCTATCCTCCGCGACTCAAACGGGGCCGCACCGTTGATGCGGTGGTGGTGGGGCTGCGGGGGGAGAGGAGTATCGGTATTGCGAAGCGCCGCTCTCCCTACCCTCCGCAGCCGAATCTTGGTTGGCGGCGGAGCCATAGACCAGATCCGCCGCTGGGGTCAGGAAGGCTGGTACTTCTGAGTGCTAGTTTTTCCTGGCCCCATGGCCTTTGCGCATCGGACACGGGGGCGTCCGTTGTGCATGTGAAATTGGAGGCCGAGGAGGAGGGCGCGCCATGTGTTCTGGTGCGCCTTACCTGAGAGGGAGATGGGGGAGGAGTAGTCCTCTCTCGAGGAGGGGCCGCCATGGGGTGGCCAGCGCAGGTGGGGCCGCGGATGTGTGCGAATGCGTTCCCGTGGCCCTGCCAATATGCGACGAGGGTGGAACACCATGAGGTTTTAGTCGGTGCGAGTCCGACATAACCCGTTCTTGCCCCCGCGAGGCGGGTATGCGTAGGCATTTCCCCATGTAAAAAAAAAGAAAAAAAAAGTATTTAAGCACAAGGTTATCCGATCAATAAAATTGCACTTGCATGACTTTTTAAATGTAAAATCAATTATTTTGGTTATTGTTCCGGTAACATTTTATTATATTTTTATTACGTCTACTTGGTTGTCAAGTTACGAACCCTAAGTTCAAGTCTTTCAAATAAAACCTCATCTTTCTCATTAGCCCGC